TTTGTATTACCTGAAAACCCATTATACAAGATAATTCTCAGAGCAACGACCCTTTATAGAATATTTTATGAGGCCAGACTAGCCATTCTACTAAGTAACAGTCAGTACATCTCAGTGATTAAGAATCCAGGATCTGGAGGGAACCTCATACCACCAAGAAAGCAGTGCCAGGAGCAGAGCATGTCCTAGGGACCTGAGGTCCCTGCGCGGAGAAGCTCCTAGTCTGGGGGAAGATTGATGAGGGCTGACAGAGAAAGCCTTCTCCTGGAGCTGACACCCTGAATTTGGACTTTTAGCCTACTTTACTATGAAGAAACAAATTTCTCTTTGTTAAAAAAAAAAAAAAATTCAGGATCTGGACTGGATTCATTCCACTTCTGGTATCTTAAAATTTTACATTTAAACTTTACTATTTAAAAATGTAAAACTTCTATATGAAAAAAAAATTATTGAAAACCAGAAAACCAAACCCGCTGCCGTCGAGTCGATTCCAACTCATAGCAACCCCATAGGACAGAGTAGAACTGCCTCTAGAGTTTCCAAGGAGCACCTGCTGGATTTGAACTGCCAACTTTTTGGTTAGCAGCCATAGCTCTTAATCGCTACACCACCAGGGCTTCCTAAGCCAGAGGCAAATGACAAAGTGAGGAAAAACATTCACACCACATATGATAGGTAAAGGCTAGTTTCTTTTGTTTTACAAATTAGTTAAGATGAAGGATTATATGTGGGAAAAAAATAGAAATGACTGATAAGCTTACCTAATTGTAATTAGGGAATTGCAAATTAAGCCAACAACGACATACCTCGTTTCACCTATCAGACTGGTGGACATTTTAAAGCTATATTAAAACTTTGCATTACTGAGGATAGGGAAATGGATGCTCAGCAAAAAAAAAAAGTCATCCCTACAACTGGATGATTTGAATAAACATTCACTTATAGGCTTTTTGTAAACTTAAGTTTTCATCTCACTTGGGTAAATACCTAGGAGTGGGATTGCTGGGGTATATCATAGGTGTGTATTTTTAAACTTTTAAGAAACTGACAAACTGCCACAGTGACTCTACCGTTTTGCATTCCTGCCAGCAATGTATGAGCAGTCCAGCTGTTCATTCACATTTGATATTGTCAGTTTTTGTTGATCTTAACCCTTCTTAATGGAGCCCCTGGGTGGTGCAAATGGATTAATGCACTCAGCTGCTAACCGAAAGGCTGCCAGTTCGAGTACACCCAGAGATGCCTTGGAAGAAAACCCTGGCGATCTACTTACAAAAAATCAGCCATTGAAAACCCTACGGAGTACCGGTCTACTCTGACACACATGGGGTTGCCATGAATTGGCGTTGACTCGAAGGCAACTGGTTTTTCTTGTTTAATAGGTGTTTACTTGTATCTTAGTGTGGATTTAATTTGCGTTTCTTTAGTAATTAATGATGTTGAACATCTTTTCATATGCTTATTGGTCAACTGTATGTATTTCTTTAGTGAAGTATCTGATCAAATCTGATGGTTTTTTATTGGATTGTTTTCTTACCATTGACCTTTGAGAGTTCTTTGTCTATTCTGGAAACAGATTCTTTGTCAGAAATGTGATTTGCTAATACTTTCTTCCAGTCTGTAACTTGTCTTTTCATCCTCTTAACAATTCTTTCAGAGAGCAAAAGTTTTTAATTTTGATAAAATCCAATTTACCAATTTTTTTTTTTAATGAATCATGCTTTTGGTGTCATACCTAGATACTCTTTACCTAACCCAAGTTTACAAAGACTGTTTCCTGTGCTTTCTTCTAGAAGCTTTATTATCTTACATTTTACATCTAGGTTTATGATATACTTTGAGCTCATTTTTCTATAAGGTATGACTTAGGGGTCAAGGTTAATTTGTTTGCAGATGGACATCCAATCCTTCCATGACCATTTGGTGACAAGACTATTCTTTCTTCATTGAATTGCCTTTGTACCTTTGTCAAAAATCATTGATTCTAAGATGCACATTTTAACATTTCTGAAATCAGGATGCATATTACAGTCAATGGCATCTCACAATTATAAGAAAAGATATCATTTTTTCTTTCTTAGAGGTATATCAAACAATGGTATATCTTACAATCAATGACATCTTAGATTTTATGAAATATATTATTCTCCAAAGTTTAGTTTTCTGAACTTGTAACAGCCACCTATGGACATTGTCCATCAAAATCTGTCCCCTTCTTCTTCCGTACTTGATAACACTTCATCTTGACCACTTGGTCACCAGCTAGTGACTACATTCCCAGGAATCCCTTGCAGTTGGTGTGATTGTGTGACTAAGTTTGGACCAATAAGATACAAAAGGAAGTGATGTGTATGACTTTTGGATCATCTCCAACCTAAAAGACAAGCCAATTGGCCTAGAGTTTCTGTCTTTCCCCTTAACGCAAGCTGGAACTTAAACAAGCCTGACACCAAGCTGCAGCCATAAAGGCATTAAAAATGCCCTAGGGGGTGGCCAAGCAACATTATGAAGGAACCTGGGTCCCGCATGGCCAGGAGAAGCAGGGCCACCTGCCAACATGGCTCACCTTGGGACTGACACATGAAAGACAAACCACCTTCTATTTTCCTTAAGCCACTGTATTTGGGGCCTCTTTGGAGTAGTAGGGGGTGTATTAGTTAAAGTAGAGGGTAATCTGATGCAACAAAGTGGCATCAGATTAGCCTTTGCCTTAACTAATACACAGCTCGCCACTCCATAGAAATGGCTTATCCCTGCCAGCCCCTTGCCTGGCTGCTTCTCTCTCCAGCTTTCTATCTCCTCCCAACTGATACTGAGTTTCTGCTTCTGTTGCAGGAGATTTCCATGTGGTATTCTGATGTTCTGAACATTTTGATCTGCTTGTCTTGATTGACATGATGCTTAATAATTTTACTATTCCCAGTTTATGCTACTTGGTAAAGTAACCATTGTCAGTGACGACTAACTACATTTTGGAGACAATTATTCTTCCATTAATAATCACCACTTCAAATTCTATATGGCGGGTAAAACAGCTGCATCAAAATGACTCTTCCTAAATCAGAGATGGAATCAAAAAATTCCTAGAATCAAATGAGAATGAAAACACATCATACCAAAACCTTTGGGACACAGCAAAGGCAGT